TATTTTCTTTTGTATAATATTTAGATAAAAATATTAAGATAAGTTACATAAGCCACATGTATTGATTGCAAATATACGATATTTTTGGACAAGGTGGTTGTAATAGATGCTTACTTCAATATGCACTGGTAGTCCATCCACAGAATTAATAGGCTTTAAAGCCTCATAGAGTTCTTTACACAAATACAAAACAATCTTTGAGCATCCGAAACCGGTGTAGAAATTCGTTGTCGGAGAATTCTAATAGGTAGATTAAGTATTCTGATCACGTATCGATCGCTGGTGTAATTTTCTTTTTCAATTTCTGACACGAAAATATAGTTGCAATAGGCTCGAGACATCTTTTTCGTATTAAAATGGTTTGAAGATAAACTTAAACCCACGTCCGCGAAAGAGGATAAAATTGTCCCTTTCAAATGTCAAAAAGGGATAATTTTTTCTCTTTCCCTTGGCCTCATGCTACGGACGGGGAGATATATGTCTACTCGTTATGTCAAACGGGGATATACTATAGAGATAAGACAATTTTATCTCTTGTCAGTGGATATAATCGGGGGATATAATTTTTGTCTCTTGCCCATGCTCGCAGGGTGGATAAAATTAAGCAAGGGATAAAAATTGTATCCTCTCCCCGGGGATATATTGTCCCCCGCTCATGCTAGCCCGGCTGGGAGAGATTGCTTTTTAGCAATAAGGTCGCCTGTTATGCTTTGTATTTTTATTGAGTACGAATCTGTAACACTTTTTATAGTGCAATAAAGTGTATAATAAATAAATTAATAGTATTATAAATGAGAAAGTGTGTATGTTTATTTCTTTGTCCTTCCTTGACGCGTTAACTAAAAATAATATTATATATATATTATAAAAAATAAATATTTAAAATATATAAAAATGACAACAGTATATCACTTATTACTTCAAGCCTTGCCAGAACATTTTATTTTGTTTTTATTAATAATCTCATGCAAATCTCAAAAATTTCAAATAAAAAAATATTACGACGCATTATTTTGCACACCGTACATTGACCATTACGTCATCGGCCCAGGTCTCAAGTTAATTCGTACGAGTTATACATGTTGGCCGAATGAAGGCGAGTGCCAAGTGACAAACGTATAAAGACCCCATTTTTCTAGCCTCGCCATTGCTCATCGTCAAGTCGCTTGCCTAGCTGGTTAGCTGGCCAAGTGCAGGCGAGCACCAACGTGTGTACCATAGAATACTATAATACACAATGGAATGGCTGTCAACCTCATTTTGTACGAGATTCGGCATCGGCTGGGAGCACACATACAAGCAATTAGGTCGTATTAAACGGGCTACACACGAGACGATATCGGTGGCGATCTAGGGTGGAAAGAAATCGGGGCTTTTATCGGGGCAGACCCTACACACGGGCCTGCCTAGCAGTACGCGTTCGGACTTGGAGCGGAACACATATGCGGTAGAGTTCTTCAAAATAGCTTCAATTCTCTTAAAACACCAATGTATTGGTTTGGCATTAGCCCTCTTGGTAAATTTATTCGAAAATAGAAAAAGAGGAGTTGCTGGGTGAAAAATGGCTCCAAAAGAGACAAAAATTAAGCCACATAAACGTACTAAATGATCTGTATTCCAAAGACATGATTAATTTTCTCCGGATGGATGAAGACAGTTTTTATAACCTTCTAGAAATGATTTCGCCACTTATATAAAAACATCAATTTCTCCTATATACCTATGCTATTTAGTTATTTCTTCTCTTTGTTCATTTCTGCTTTGGTCAAAATCTGGTTATGTATTACACACAACAAACAAGGAAATAAAATACTTTTGTATAATAATATGTATACTTTTTTTTAATGTAATCTTTATTTATGGAGTAAAACTATCAGAAAATAAAATAGCTTATATCTTTTTTTTAAACATAAAGAAACCTTTAATTTCGGACATACTCCCTTTTATATAACTTGTTTGTTGATGTGGAGATGGTGAAGGAGTAGAAGTTAGTTGTTTATAAGAGGATGAAGGCACGTAAGAGATCGAATTGTGGTCTTGTGGAGTTGTAAGAGATATGAGTGCGGTCTTGTGTTGATAGTGTTGGAATAGGAGTTAGTTGTTGAGGAGAGGCTTTATCTTCTCCTTACTTACATCATACACTCTACTTTACGAACGGCAATAAAAAATTAGTTTAGTAGGCATTCTTGACCATGTCACTTCGCAGGGTCACAGGCTAGGGTGGATATGATTTGAATTTCGATAAAATTTCATTTAATTTATTTATTTTATTCACTTTTTTTTTGGTTTTTTGTAAAATATCAGTGCCATAGGCTTCTGCTCCGTTTATATGATTAAAATGTAAAAATTTTGTTACATAAAAAAAGGTCATTCAGTATCACTGTTTTGTTAACTTCCTTCCGCGAGGGTTGCCGGCAGCGACTGCCAAAAGAAATCGGGCCGATGCGCCTACACACACGCAGTAAGGAGGGGGCGGTGCCCCGATCTAGGAAGCATCGGCTGATCTAGGAAGCATTTTTGCTCCTGCCAGCCGATTAAGGAGGCGATATCGGCTACGACTTAGGATGGCTCTACATACGACACGATTTAGAGGCAATCTAGGAGGCATCCCCACTACTCCACCCTAGATCGCCACCGATATCGTGTCGTATGTAGCCCGCTTTATCAGTTAATCACTACTACAAATCCGATTCGTTGTGTTGACAGACGGATTTGAATAGATATTTATTTGTAAATAGCGTGAATTGGGCATTTTCTAAATAATTTGCATGCGAAATTTGGAAACGATTGTAACGTCAAAACACATCTCGTGTTGACATTTATACGTGTGAATTGACGTGTTAGTGGCATTTTAGTGGTTACACGGGCTCCACCAACTCCCTCTATTATTTATATATTATAGTATTCTATGGTGTGTACGGTCCGTTTGGCGTGCCTTGCCACCACGCTAGATCGCTTGCTACGAATCGTCTCACTTCGGAACAGTGTCGGTTCTACAGCAGAAATCAAAGGCTCTCGCCTGCACTAGTATAAAATATAACACACGATAATCATTTAATAATTCTTATCAACTATATCGGCGAATTCCAACATATCATTTATGGTATTACATTATACAGTTTTATCAACGTGACACAGGGCTGGTTACATAACAGCATTGTATGCTGTTTTGCGTAACATGTCCAAGGTGTCTCAAGTTATCGTTGTATCTTCCGACATTAGCCTTTTAATAAAAAGTAAAAGAACCAAGTTCAAAGAACTAAAATGAATAAATAAAAAATAAAGACAGTCATAAGGACTGCCCACAGAAGTGAAAACTCAATGATATGATATTATAATGCGTATAGATCTACACAGGTCGCTATACTAAGCGTCGCTAGTCCGGCGCAAGAAAGCTATGCGTAGTAGACATGCTCGTCACGTATTGTGCTTGGTCTTATGAGGGGATATTTGCAAACCCAGTTCTTGATTTTTGTCGACGACAATTTCCACCCCAAGCTCGGCGAGCTCCTTGGTCCGTTTAAAGGTGACCCCACTGTTGAGCACCAACGTGTTATCAGTGTTCAAACGTCGTATAGGGTTGTCGGTTTTGACAATAAGAGTTGTGATTTGAACGAGTTCCAAGTTCCATAGCAGTTTTTTTATCATAGTTATTTTGTTTTTTTGTTACTCACTTGAACAACGTATCCTTTCTTCAAGTGAATTCAAACAAAATTTGTACGTACCTTGAATTTGAATTTATATCTTGGCAAGTTTAAACAATCAATTACGTTAAACGTGATAATAATATTTGATACACGCGTGAAATTTAACGTTTTGTTTTCCAGCAAAAGCAGTTTATTTGCATATATAAACGAAAGTAGATAATTATAAAGATGTTACCGTGTAGTGCTATGTAATAATATCCGCTACCCCATATTGGCCCGTGGGTGTCGTAAAAGGCGACAGAGAGAAACAAGATTAATATTAAAATCGAACCGAGTTTCATACGCTTAGTCGTAGAGACCAAGTCTCTACATCAGATAAGTGCAAGAAAATTTCAAACACCTTTCAAACCCCTTAAAATTCCCTTACAGTCCATGCGTCCGTCAAATCCCGAGCGGTTGCATGCGACCGCACCCACCCACAGCACTTTAAACCGTTAAAACTTATATTTTGAGACTACTTTTCTATGAAAAAGTTTAGCATTATAGAATCTATACGAAATTCTCTATCCTGTGGTCTAAACAAAAGTCAGTTACTCTATGTATTTTTATTCTACTGTCAATTTACGACATTTTAAACCACAAAAACAGCACTTTAAAACGTAAAAACTTATATTATAGACTTTTTTCTATAAAGAAGTTTGGCATTATAGAATCTATACAAAATTCTCTGGTGTCTAAACTAATCAGTTACTCTACGGATTTTTATCTTTAATCTACCGTAAAATTGCGCCATTAACGCAGAATGACACCGGTTTCAGTTCACACACCTTGTCTTTAAGGTCGAAAATTGGGTGGTTTTTCTATTTCTCATATTTTTTTAAACTTTATAGTTTACGAATCAAATTTTTGGTATATGATTTTGACTATAGACCTTAGAGTCCATAAAAGGAAAACACGATAAAATGAAATGTTCAGGATAGAAAAAAAATTGTAAAATAGGCTCTAATTAGTTACATTTCTCCATGACAACATAATATTTTATGAATAAATTCATGGAATTATTTTTAAGGCATAGTAAATAATCATATCTATGTTCTCACAAACCATTTTTAATCCATAACAAAATTTTGTTAAAAATTATGTTGTTTGGCACTTACTTAGTTTTGTTTGAACGCGTGCTCGATATAGCTATCTTATTATGAAGTCATTGTATCACTTGCGTATTATGAAGTCATTACATTTCATTTGGACACTCCCTCCGCCGTCCGTGAGCTTTCCGACAAAGGGATAAACCACGCGCCCAAAACTACGATTTGTTTTAAGGTACCCTCTTAAGCGCTTCCAAAATCCTACCTGAATATATCCTTGCACTCGGGCGCAACATAGGTCGCCTCCTTCTCCGTGTGCATGTGGACCACCTTGATATCACGCATGCACCCCGCCTTCCCCACCTCGGTCATCGCGTTCAGAAGCGGGACCGGGGTAGCAGCCGCTCCCTGCGAGTATACCGTCTGACCTGTGGAAATTAAGTATTTAGATAAGTAATATAGTAGTAGATAGTAATGTTAACAAACACTCTCTACGTGATATTTGGTCTCAATGGGTTTAAGCTTATTCGTCATTTACCATAAGAAATAGAGCAGCATTATGTTGTTACGTTAAACAAGTCAATGACCGTGGTGCTTTCAAGGTCGAGCCTCTACATTCTTGCTGCGGCCATATTACGATGCACCGAGACTATACTCAGGCGTAGGTTTTGGTATGCTAATTATATTATTCCTATAAGGAAGTGCTATATTTTTTTAACAAATGAAGTAAACTGCTCGAGGTCATAAACCGTGTCAAAATTCCTAAACCTTAATTAATTCTACCGTATACTAACGCCTATCTGATTAAAATTTTAATTATCATCATCATTACATCTTATCAAAAGGCCAAGCGTTTTTGCCATTGTTGCCACGCTTGGCAACCTAATTTTTTATTGTTTTGAGTCCATCTCGTGTTTCATTTTTCTCTTTCGCCTTTTACCTGCGCTCACAAGATGATATGGAATAGTGGATTATTTTACGCTGCCACTACACGGTGATTAATTTACTTCAAATTAAATTATACAGTAGGTATATATTATATAGTATATTATAAAGTCAAAGGTGAGCGTGTAGAAGGGAAAAATAATTCAAAGGTTGACGTAAATTACGATAAATGTAATGTTACGAAATAATAAAGATAACCTTTTTTTATTATTCATATTGTTTATATGCTATAATAAATTTGTAAGGCAATACTGGACTGCCTAATGGTGAAGCTTTAGTCGATTTCTTCATAGAATAAGTATGACAAACGAGAGACGCAGCAGAGTTCATTATAGATAAGTGGATGCTGTAGCTCATATATACCTACATCTATTTTGAAGGATCAAAATGCAGATGCGTCGTCACACCTGAGGACTATAACGGATTGCCACGTTTCTCCGATCATCTACGCTCACTATACGAAACACAGCAGCAAGAGTGGTTATTCCTCTAACACGTAAAAAAATAAAAATTATAAATAATGAATTAATAGATCGACTTTTAGATTTCTTACACGAAATTTGGTGTATAAAAACAACGACAATCAACGACGAACAATCTTCTACTAATAAAAACAAATAATAAAGGAACTTTGTTCGATCTTTGTTTTTATTTATATGAAGATTTGCTAATAATACTCGCTAAAATCTGATATCGCATGCAGTGACGTCTTCGACCGGTCAAAGAACTGCGTACGAAGATAAAATATAAATAAACATAATATAGGACTTCAATCGACAGCAAAGTCTGTAGCGACATTGGCGGGATTGACCGCTAGCGGTCAAAATAAGCGAAATTAAATTAAACGCGATAAAATTAGAAATTAGTTTTATTTAATGCTACCGTTGATTAAGGATGATCCAGGAAACGTTAAATAGATTTATTCTAATAAATGGCAGTATTCTGTCCGTCCGGGCAGGTACCAACCAACCTCTTACCTATATCAGCTGGCAAGTGCCAGTGCGTGAACTTCTGTGTTCCAGTGTGAAAGTTATAGAGAGCCAGTCCTTATTTAGTTTTTACCGACTTCAAAACAGTGTATTACCACAGAAATAGTAATAATAAGACAATAGAAATGAATTAGCGCTCGATTACTTCGATCGGCAATAACAAATTGTTGATCGAAGCTCGATTACTTCCAAAACCGATGTCGCCACATCTTACCGTATTGTAAACATACGCAATGCCCAATGATATCTAATGTTCCACATTTCATTGCTTGGCGAATTTGTCAACGTCGCGTGTGTCGCGTATTACGGTAGAACAAAAGCAGCAATGGTCAATACAAAAAGTAATAAATGAAAGTTTACATAGGTAAATATGCGAGCCGTGGTTGGAGCTCAGATGGTTAGCGCTCGCTGTAAATTTCACAATACGCGAGCAAACCGGGTTCGATTCCCGCCGGCACCAATGAAATTGTTAATTGCAATAAGTGCTGAATTACCACGCGCTCGTCGGTGAAGGGAAACATCGTGTGGAAACCTGCATGTCTGAGAAATAAGAAAAAAAATATTTCGAAGACATGTGAAGTTCGCCAACACGTATTGGGGCAGCGCGGCGGACTATTCCTTGCCCTAAAACCCTCTCAGAAATGAGAGAGGCCTGTGCCCAGCAGTGGGACGTATATAGGCTGTAACTTTACTTTAACTTTATATGTAAATATCATAGTAAACTATTCATCTAGATGTAAATTAGTTAAAACAAGGATAATTAGTAAATAATCAACTTACCGATGAAATTTTATGCCTTTATTAATTAAATTACATGTCCTTGATGAGTTTTACTACTTTTTTTTACTAATAACATAAATTGAAATGTATATTTCTTTGACAATAAAATATCTTTAAACATTAACGTTCCCCGCGCAACTAAATTACAAAATGGTGAATCCTGAATAGAATATTTTTTTATTCAATATAGATTACAAGTAATTCTTATTGAAAGTCAATACTTAAGTATTACTTAAATTTTACTTTACCACTGGTCGAAAAAAAACCTCTGTCCTGGGAAGAATCAGCAAGAAACCCAGCGGGACTTTAAAAAAATTTACAATGTCAAGGGTCACAAAATATTTACAAAATTAATTTTAGAAACAGTTTGGAAGCGACACACCTGATTCCCAGGGGTTATTATCAACCATGTATTCATTTATATCATAATAACCCTTTTTATACAGTTTTTGTGTAATTAAATATTTAAACTTGGTAGAGACCTTGTATATTTTCTGGGACTTTGTTGTAATAGCGTATACATTGCCCCAAGAATGAATTACTGACTCTGTGGAGTCGAGAAACTGGTAGCACCAGCTTGTGTTTGTTCCTAGTGTTTACAGAGTGTATGTCACTTTTTTTACTAAAACTACCTTTATTTTTGTGAACATACATCAAATTTTTATACTGAGAGGCCAAAGTTAATATATTTATTTCTTAAAAAAAATTCTAAGAGACTCTCTCGGTTTAAGGTTGTAAATAGCTTTAATGGCCCTCTCCTGAAAAACAAAAATAGTTTCTACATCAGCCGCATTCCCCCATAGCAAAATTCCATATGACATTATGCTATGGAAATAACTGAAATAAATTAATCTAGCTGTCTCTACACTAGTGAGATCTTTAATCTTTTTTACACCATAAGCTGCAGAGCGTAGTCTGCTTGCTAGTTTAGATATATGGGGGCCACACTGAAGCATAGCGTCGAGAATGATGCCAAGAAAAATAGAGGACTCAACAGGACTCAGTTCTTCCCCATTTAAAACACATTGGTACTCGGATTATTGACATTTGTTGTTGTAAATTAATAATACACATACATTAATACATTTAGTTTTATTACCGTTTAAATGTAGATTATAACATATATCTATGGGGGCCACACTGAAGCATAGCGTCGAGAATGATGCCAAGAAAAATAGAGGACTCAACAGGACTCAGTTCTTCCCCATTTAAAACACATTGGTACTCGGATTATTGACATTTGTTATTGTAAATTAATAATACACATACATTAATACATTTAGTTTTATTGCCGTTTAAATGTAGATTATAACGTCTAATACACATACATTAATACATTTAGTTTTATTGCCGTTTAAATGTAGATTATAACGTTAAACCAATCGGTGCACTAATTTCGATATAGCATTATTCACTTCTTCACATTTAAATGATTGACGTTTAAGTTTAAAAATCAAGGAAGTATCATCAGCAAATAATACTATATTATAATAATTATGTCCTACAAGGAAATATGTCATAAATAGACACTAAAAATGGGAATGGTCCAAGAATTGAGCCCTGAGGGACACCCATCTGTGGGGGCCATCCTGAAGAACTTTTACCATTGATAACAACTTTCTGCACTCAATTACATAAATACGAAATAACTAGTTTAAGCGCTGTGTTCTTGACACTATAGTACTGTAGCTTCCTGATTGATGTCTCATGGTGAACACAGTCGAAGGCCTTGGAAAGGTCACAAAATATACTCAAAGCATCGTCTGAATTCTTCCATGCACAAAAAAATATATTTTATAAGCTCAACTCCGGCATCGGTTGTCGAGCGACCCCTTGTAAAACCAAATTGACTTGTATGGAGCAATTTATTTTTATTAAAAAAAATGTTATGTTCGCCAACACCACAGAAATCGTAATTTCTCTTATTACGTATTACTATTCTCTGTGGTCAATACATTATAGCGGCGACAAGGTCGCGCGTTTATGCGACTTCTATTGTTTTATTATTACGATTTCTATGTATATTACGCCACTAGGGAGGAAAGTATGATATTGCAAACCATGTGCTATTGTATGTATTGAATAAGAACGCGGATTGCGATGTCATACTTTCTTCCCGTAGTGCATATATTATTTTTTATTACACCTTGATCGAAATGATGTACCTTAGTGTATCATGACATATACTTTTGACGTTTCAAAACAATAGAGCTAGAAATTTGACGCATACGTACACAATTAATAAGTAACTGAATCGGGAGGCAATGTGGCACTTTCGTCCCTGAAAGTAGGGTCGAAGTACGAATGTTCGATCATGGTATGATTAAAGAAGGTTTACAATTCGGCAGCATGTTTTTTGTACGTATTAGACATGGGACGAGTACTTGGTTTGGATTCGGGACTCGAAGGTTTCGGCCTTTTTTTAGGGTTCGGCCCAGCACTGATTGTTAACGGCCGAGTACCGAGTACTCGGCTTTAATTATATTCCAGAGAAAAATAAAGACAAAAAGCCAGCTTTTATAATTATTGTTATATTAGACACATTAAAACATGAGAAACAGCAGAAATATTGAAAACGTACATAATAATCGTTGATAGAAATTATTAAATTTAATTTGATAGACATTATTTAAAATTTAAGAGAGAAAGATTGTGATGAAAAACACTAGTTTTTCGGCCCTATTTGGGTCTAGTTTGCTCCTTTTTGATTCATA